ATTAGCTCAGCTTTTGAATAGGAAATATGACTCTTCATAAGGAGATATTCAGCCCTTTAGATGAGATTCTCTCCCAGCCTTTTTATTACTGATTGAGACCAGTTTTCTCAAATTCCAAGCTGAATGGAAGCCTGTTAATATATTGGAAGAACCAATACAGAGTATCCTGGAACTTTGAACAAAACCAGAATTCCCTATTTATAATGACTGGTTTATGACAGTTAGTTTGGTGTTGTGGTTAAAGGCATTGAATTAGGAGCTGGGAAACTGTGAGTTCTAGTCCTGCTTTAGGCACAAAAGTTGACTTTGGGCCAGTCGCTCCTTCTTAGTCCTAGGAAGAAGGTGTGGCAAATATGGCCCAGAAAATGGCATAACCTGTTCCTGCAGTCACCAGGAATCAAGACTGGCTCAAAAGACCATAATAACCGCAATGGGATGTTTTGAACCTGAAAGAGACCCACATTTTAGCCTCCTGCCTATCCCTCAGCTATCTGGTTGATGATTAACCTCCTCATTCATTTACTGAGAGTCTGTTAGTAAAAACCTGAAACAAGCAGAGAGATAAATTGTGTTTGAAAGGGAAAGCAAGCCAATTCTGTAATCTCATTCCTTTTTGAAGAATCTCATTCAAATGTAACATAGGAAAAATACGTAGGGAAACACAAGAGCTTGACGCTATCAAGAGAACTTCCTGTGGTTTTTCCCAACCTGAGAATTATGAGCCTTGAAATCCTCCCCAGTGGGATGACTTGGGTTGGGAAAGTCTGATTTAAAGGTAAGTATATTTTGGAGGACTCTTTCTGACATTGGTCTTGGTTTTCTCACAAAGCAGCAACCACACCCACGTTTCTGGTTCCCAAATCTTCCCTCCCATCTATGGTAGTATAATCAAATGTCTGCTACGCATCAAATCATGTTAAAACATATTTGCACCTATTGAGAGGTATAAATCTTTAGATAGCTTAGAGGCAGCAATGTATTTGCATGACCCAATACTTAATGCTGTGACCCTGGACCAGGGACAATTAACATAAGCCCAACAGTTGTCTTTCTAGGAAGGAGGAATGGAAGGGAGTAACAAGCAGTGTCAATGTGAACATTGCTGTTTATGATATCATGATAATACCAGGAAGGATACTCCAAATGTAAAATATAGCAAAGAGGTCAGTTCAAAAGCTTCACAAAGCATTCCAGGGGAAGGGTAGCAATGTAATTGTATTAGTCTTTTTATCTTTCTCTTTCCAATGTAATTGATCAAATGTATATAACATGGGGAATTTTGCTTCAGGCTCTCTCCTGCTGCTGCTGGCAGGGAGCCTAGTGATCACTGGAAGGGCATTCTAATAAAGTATACTTTCTTGCATCTATCTCCAAATGCTTTGGTTTCTAATGTAGGTGAGCAGTTTTCTCACAACCCGTCCCAGAATTAAAAACAAAAAATGAGACAAACCAAAGATTTTTGGAGGTATTTCTAGCAGTGGAGTAATCTGCCTCTCCAGCTATGTGTCCTTACCCATGGAAGAAGCCTTCCTCTACTGCCTATCTAGGATCTCAGTGTTGAGGAGCAATACTCACCACCTGTCAGTAAGACTGAAGAGATGAGGTAGAAGAAGAGGCCAGCAGCCACTGTGCTTGCAGAGCGAGTCAACAGCCTTTCCTGAAGCCAACTATTGAATGTGCTGAAGTTTATAGAGATTGTAGTGTGGCTCTCCTGTGGGATGTCTTTGAACAATTCCCTCAAGTGGGTGGGATGGAAGACATGAGTGATCACCACATCCCACACAGAGTAGACTAATATCAATTTGCACAATGAACATGGGAAAAGGGACAACATCAACAGAGAACCAACAATTTAAAGAACCCAGAGGGTTATCTAAATTAGGCAAGAACTGGTTCCAATCATAACTAGGGGACTTGTAGAGGAAGTCTGTCCCTCCTCTTTATTTTTTTATTTTGGAGGGGAGAGTAATAGGATGTTTAATATATGCCGACATGTCCAAAGTGAGTCAATGATGGTGGCTAAGGATATTATTATATTTCATTCATTGAGAAATAACACAGTACCATCATTACTACTACTAACAATAACAATAATTTTATTGCCTCACTTCTTTGAGCATTGTTGTTGTTGCTGTTATTCTTTACCTCTATTCGGGGGGGGGGGCGTCCACAGCAAGCTGAGAATTCATCAATATGATGAAACATGTATCATGATCTCATGAAGCATGAACTTTTCGTCATTCTGATGAAATGTTGGCTTGATGACCCAATGTCTGGAGGTTGTTAGGGTCTTAATGAGAAGAAACAAGCTGGGATTGAATCCCTGAAAGATGGAAGTGTTGGTTGTTCAGAAACCATTTGATATTTTGTCTGCTTCAGGGACAACTTTGGATAGGGAGGCACTTCTACTGAAGGAGTAGGTCTGCAATTTGAGGTTCTCCTAGACTCACAACTACAGTTGGTGGACCAGTTGCAGCCCTTCCTGGAGCACCATGCCCTGACAATTGTTCTCCATGCCCTTCTCACCCCTCATATTGATGATAGTACATGGCTACTCAGAAGTTGCAGTTAGTACAAATTGCATCAGTTTCTGAGTACTGAGTTCTGAGAACTGCCAATACCATAGAACAGTGTTTCTCAACCTTGGCAACTTTAAGATGTGTGGACTTGGACTCTCAGCATGCTGGCTGAGGAATTCTGG